AGCAGTTTTGTTGAGTCGTGTGCTACTCTTCAAAACCCGTTTCCTGACACTTGATCCACAACAGGGCTGGGGTTATTCTGTTTCTATGCTGGACAACTTCCTGCTTACGTTGTTTGACAAGTATGCAGAGCTTTTGAAGCGTCGCTTCAGCGAAGACTTCCAGGAGGTACAGAATCTTGTCCGCTTAGGCAAAGTTTGGGGTAGCTAACGCGAGCTAGATTGTGTCAACGGACGACTACATGCCTATGGCAATTAATACTCGTGAAGAGTATGAGAAGGTGGTGAACGTTAGCTGGTTTTCCCAAGAAAAACCGCTCGAGGAGCTCAGGTAAGCAAGCCTATTGTCTGACCATATCCTTACTCAAGTGTCTGATCATCACTCAGCTTCCCCTGCGTTTTGCCATTCTCGCAGATGTATCCACTTTGCTGCATCGACATCCGCAACTTCTTGAACCAGTTCTACTTCTTCTCCGATGACCACTTCCAGCATCCAAATGTAATCGACGACACACTTCGCAAGGCAAGTAACATGGCTGGTATAACTTGAGAAACATTACTGACTCTTCAACAACTTGCAGTCGCTTGACGAGCTGCTGACCGAAAAGGTTTGCAAGTCTCTCGTCGAGAGGCTGAGCTCACAATATCTCGGGCAGATTGTGCAGATTCTCATCAACCTAGAGCACTTTGAAGCCGCATGCCAGGAGCTTGAGCAGCTTCTTATCCGAGCAAGATCGTCTACGTCAGCTGGCGGCCCTGTCACGCTTGTTGCCACTGAAGAATTCCGAAACAACAAAAAGACAGCCGAGAAGCGTATTTTCGAACTTGTCAACTCAAAGATCGATGACCTTGTGGATACAGCTGAATATGACTGGTATGTTGGACTAGACTGTTTTCGACTACAAACGAAACGCCTCGTTGATGTTGACTAACAACGGTATATAGGATGGTGACCACGACATCTCCCGACCCAAGCAGCTACATGCAGACCATGACCCGGTATCTTTCGACCATCATGAACTCGACGCTTCTAGGCTTGCCAAGAGAAATCAAAGAGCTCATATACTTTGATGCACTCAGCCATGCCGCCAACAAGATTCTTGTGAGTTTCTTGATGTCCCGGACAGCCCCAACTCGTTCCGACATCACTGACATATGTTGTCGTGCAGGCGTTGCCACTTTCCCCGGACGTCAAGCATATCAACACCAACGCCGTCGCGGCCTTGGCCAAAGACGTTCAGTATCTCACCGAGTTTGTCGACAGTCTTGAAAACGGAGCCATGCTACGAGAGAACCTGGACGAACTCCAACAAACGATCAACCTGATGCAGTCTGACAATCACGACGAATTCTTTGATATTTCAATTCGCAACAAAAAGTTTGGTCGCGTAGACGCATTGAACGGTCCCATCCTACTGGAAAAGTAAGGCTCGAGATCACTTTCGTCTTCCCACACTCAAATATTGACATTCCTTACAGGCTTACCTCGAATGCCCAAGGTCCTACACGCAGCGCTCCTCTCGCCAACTTTTCATCCAGATTCGGTATGATGAAGTGAGAGCCGTTTGCCTCCCAGATGATGTGTGCAGAACCTAGTGCATGCAAGGGGTACTCTGTTGAATAAACCAGCACGCGTCATATCTGAGTCCTGCTGAAGCAAATACCCATTTGTATTCTCTCCGGGATGTTACTAGGCTCAGATATGGAGCTCATAGCTTTCCCCTCCGCAACCTACTAATTACTCAAGAGGATCAATCCATCGTGAAGCACTGGCAGATTCGATGCTGTCCCGTCATCATGGCTCTCGTCGCTAATAATGCCTTGAACGCCTCTACGCCGGATCCAAATCGAAACGATAACTTGGCCCCTATTTTTGCTTCACCTGTGAGGGGTAAACTGAAGATAGCCGCTGTAGACACATTTGTTGCTGCGCGTGTCCATCCTCTACTCGAACTCCTCGCTGGACATGGGAGGCTGTCAAGTTCGTCAGCCCGTTCGTGGCGTAGCGAATCATCAATACTGGACAGACACTCACCTGCTGTGGCTGCATAGTCCCATAACCATACATGCCCTCAATCTCGCCATACATGGGTTGTTGAGCTTGTCCATAGGGGGCAGAGGGGCCTGGCTGTACTTGGCCGGGGTACATATTCGGGTTTTGGCGATAATCCTGATCGGGCCCAAGAGCGTGGCCAGCGAGACCGTAATCAGTTGCCGCCATGGGATGCGAGGAGGACGAATGGTTTGCTGGTTGTGGCATGGAGCCATGCTGGCCTGGCATTTGGGGGTTTGCTTGGGCTGGAACGCCTTGGGGTGTGGGAGCAGCCTGTCCCGCTGTTCTCTTGGCATGCGAAGAAGCCTCCTCCCGAGGAACTATGTCAATAAGAAAATCAAACATGTCCGATTTGGCGAGGGCAGATGCAATGTCAGATCGCTGTAAAGTGCGCCGCTTGTTCTCTTCGGCGTGGATCCATGCCCGCATCGTGAGTTCCGTGATGAAGATGTCGCAGCCCTTTGCGAAGAGGATGGGTGCTTCGGCGGATATCATTTTGACTTCGGGATCAGCCTTCATAACTTTCTTGATGCGCGCCAGGGGCAGTTGATGCAGCTTGTAGTCATGGTTGTCGCTTTCCAAATGATTGATGGTCTGCTGCCAGTAGGTTGTCAAGATGTCCTTGTACTGGCCGGTCAAGCCTTGATGAACCTGTCATATGGCAACGCGCGTCAGTCGACTCCAGATTCATATGAAAGGGAATGGGGGTGTGACCGCACATTTGCCCAAGGGCCGGTGTAAAGTTCTGCGGGAGCGAAACCCTGGGCCGATAGCTGTGTGCGTGATTAGATACGGCTCATGAGATGGATCGTATGCGTTGCAGGTAGACGCCGTTTGCGAGTCGCAAGGAGGAGATACGAACCGCAGCACTTGCGCCTAAGTTTGAAGATGGACATCAGTACAACTGTGGTAAGAAGAGGCTGGGATGAAGTGAAGGAGGTAGCTCGCGTCAAGAGTGCGCTCCATCGCGCATTCGCGCGTGATCGGGGAGGGTAGGCGAGGGGGTTGGTTGCATTTCCACTTACCATAATGGCCGCCATGAGACGTATCATACACAGGCTGCGGGCGGCCTTGCTGGGCATGAGAGCCAGGCTGATTTTGAGGGTCCATGGTAGCTGTCGCGAGAAACAGTGATTCCTGACTGTACCTAAGGTGGTTGAAAATGATTGATGTGTGGAATTGGTGGGCAACGCGATGGGAAAGCTGCGAATCACAGGTGTGTGGGGGTTGTCGGGTCGTCTGTCGGACGTTCAAGGTTGTTGATTGAGACTTGCGATCAGTGCTCTGGCGCGTCTCGGCTCGGAGGCGCGGTGAGATACGCAAATCAGATGCTTAGAGTCGGATTGCGATGCACGGGCTACCAACCATTGAGAGACCCTTGAGGCGTTGGGACTCTGGACTTTGGGAGGACGGTGGAGGAGAGAGCAGAGAGCGGGTAAATGTCCGGCAGGTCTCCAAAGTAAGGTACCTAGGGCAAGGTGGGTAGGCAATGTAGGTAGGTACTTAGGTTCAGCGCCGCGGACTGCCTCTGTCAACAACTTCGGTTGCCCGTAGGTAAGGTAAGCACGCAAGGTATTGCACCTCAGGGAGCCAAGGATGAAGAATCGAACGATTTAGGGTGGAAGGAGGTGAGTACGGATAGACAGCAAACGCCAGTGATATGTTGGATCCCTTTAACTAAAGATATAATACTTGAAGCCGGTTGATGTTTGCGACAGGCGAACTTGAACGCGATACTGGCTACTGAGCGCCCATGCGGTGAGGTGAGTGGGCTCGACAGACCTCTTATCGGGGGCAGATGTGAGGTACCTTAGGTAACAGCCTCTTCCATGGGCAGCGTCATTAGGAACAAGGATGTACCTCGGTAAGGTAAGGCAAGGTACCTAGAATCTTGGAAGCACAAAACCTGGAGGCTGGCATAAGGTAGGCTGAAATCCATTGGTCAGGTTATGGATGCCTTACGAGACTAAGGTACTTCAGGGTATGTGGGCGGTACCTTGTTAAACCTGTCATGAGTGCCTGACCGCTAAAAAACCACCCGACTGAGATAGGTGTGCTGGATGGACATCACGGCCTGACTGCAAGGCAACGCTACCTCACCTTACCACACCTCACCTCACCTCACCTTACTACCTACCTTGCTTACCACCCTAGGCACCTGACTGTGTGCGTAGTTTGACACCTTAAGGTAGGGAACCAAGTCCTCAGCGTGGCCCGGGTAATTCAAGCGACGTGTAATGACACCTAAGGTACGGATATAATCCACGATACGTTCTTGGTAACCGAACATACCTTCAATTCAACCTTTAGGTGTTGAGCACTTTACGATCGGGCAATGCATCAATAGGTACTTAGTACTCTGCAGGCAGGAACGTTGGTATCTTGGGTGCGACATGCAGCCTCAATTCTCAGAGCACACCGAATTACTCTATTCAGCTGCCTGTTGGGCATCCCACGGCCTCGTCAATCACGCAGCCCCTTGGGAGGCCGAGTCGCCCCAAAATTTGGTGCTGCCATTTCCTATCTGACGCCAGACAATGTTAGATATGCCGTGAAGGTGATGTGGTCCCCAGTTGCGTAGAGCTGCATGTGGCCGATGACGTGGCTGAGAATCGAGAATCCAATACGACTGCACTGTAGAGCAATGCGCTGCTCCAATGCGGCGGGAGTCTATGAGCTGGCCAGGGCAGCTGGTCTTTCATCGCTTCCAGCTTACATAACAGCCTGTGTATCGATGCATTACCTAATACATAGTAATCACCTCCAACCTAACCGACGCGCCTCAATTCACTATCCACTCGTGTCGAATCCCATTGCCCCACTAGACCTTTAAAGACGAAAAAAAAAAATCTTGCTTCAATCGGCACAGCTCTCTTCTTTCTCCTCGATCCTTTTCTTCACACAGCTGATCCTCCCGTCAGCTCCCATTGTTCAATCGCACATTATCGCTATGCCAGAGCTGTGCGATGGGCGTCTTGATGAACTCCTGAAAGAAGCGGCTAGTCGCCTCGCGACGAAGCAGCCGCCACGGCCCAAGGATTGCACCTTGATTGCTATGAAGGCCGCGCCTGCCAATCCAACTCTGGATTCAAAGGTGCAAGCCAAGGCACAAGACCCAAAGAGCGTTATGCTTCGCGATCCTAGGCCAGCGGAGAAGAAGGTACGTTGCAGCGCCTCGCGCAATTTCTACTCCTTACCCTCCACCACTCACATCTTCTGATGAGAAGCAACCCCTGCTTTATTTTCTTGATGTGGTGACGGTGCCCGTCTTGGGTTACCTGCCACGCCAAAATGATCATTTATTTCATAGTTACTCTGATTTGAGACTCTCTCCCGATTCTGTGCCCTGCCTATTAGTCTTCAATGGAACCGTGAGCTAACAGCAGACAGACTGGCAAAGATAATGCTGGCCCGGGCTGGTTTGGCATTCCCAAGACAGACCCTAACGACCCCGAGCTGAAGCGAGACCTTCAGATTCTTCACATGAGAGGAACCGCCATCGATTCTAAGCGACACTACAAGAAGGAATCCCTCAAGGCCAAGGTACCTCGCTACGCTCATGTTGGACGTATTGTCGAGGGCCCGACCGAGTTCTACAGCGCTCGCTTGACACGCAAGGAGAGAACGCAGACACTGGTGGATGAGTTGTTAAGCGCAGAAAAGGCGTCGGGCAAGTTCAGATCCAAATATGAGGCGATTCAAACGAAAAAGGCGAGCGGCAAAAAGGCCTTTTACAAAAAGTTGGTGGAGCGCCGCCGGCGCAGCCGCCAGTAGCCAGAAACACGTTTTACTCTGGCTCAAGATGTCTCTTTTAAATTCGTGATACCCGAAGTCGCTGGCTGATAGCTGCGCGAAACAAATAAAAAATCAAACATGAACTATTGCCCCGAGTCGCAGGTGTCAGGAATGCAAGACATGATGGATGTGAATATTCGATAACATAGTGTTGAATTCAATCACGACAATGAACTGTCCTTGAGAATGCAACCAAGCGCTCTGTATGAATTACCCAACGAAGCAGATTTAATGTGTTTAAGTAACGCGAGGTAACAAATCGTCATATGCATAAAACGAGGTATTCAACAAAGTGGACCTGTTTTCTTTTCTTTTGAAAACGGCTGTTCCCACGCAGCTTACCTCATATATGAATAACTTGCGGGTACCTTTAGATTTTACCGTCAGGATCCGTACTCGACCCTTTCCGCATGGCAACAGCATCGCATTGCTCAAGTATCTCGGTACATATGCAGAGAAGATGCGCGCTTCGACACTGTTGAGGCCAACCGCCCGCTGCCTGGCGCGGTCACATTTACAGGTTTGTTGGTACTCCTCTCGCGGCGTTGACGTTGCGTGGACGAGGCAAAAGTTGTTCTCTCACTGACCATTCAATCCTGGTTCGCAGGGAACCCTGAGACCATCATGGACTCGCTCACTCAACACAGAGACGCCGCAAGCCTCAGTGATGCAACCTTCGAAAGCTCCCGAACCAACGAGAAACTCGCAGGCTATTAGCGAGTCTGACCCTGTGTAAGTACTCACTGCGACTGGGCCATACAATATGCGGTGATATTGATGATTATCACTTGCAAGGCAACATTTCTTCGGGAAGACCAAAGAGAACGAACCAAGATATCCTCGAGGCGTTCAGGCACTCTATCTCCAGCCACTACGTCGCGAAGCCGAGTACGGAATTCCTTCATGCGACCTTCAGCTGCGCTCATACAGTTTGAGGAACCTCGAATTCTTCTCCGACTTTGCCCTTCGCGCAGCGTACTACCTGAAGCTCCCAGCATTCGGCCCTGTGCCACTGCCTCGAATTACTGAACGATGGACGGTTCCCCGGAGTAGTTTCATCTTCAAAAAGTCACAGGAGAACTTCGAGCGTATAACGATGCGTCGCCTTGTTCAAATCCGCGACGGAAATCCTGAGACGGTTCAATTGTGGCTAGCTTTTCTCCAAAAGCACGCCTATTACGGCATTGGTATGAAGGCCAACGTGTGGGACTTTGGAAAGCTTGGTAGGTCATAACAACGGAAGACGTCGTGCAGGCAGGTCCCTGCTTGCTCGTTTGAAGCAAGATTTAACGTGTCATTCTTTTCCCAGGTGTCGGCAAGGCCATGGATGCCATTGATCCAGAGACGACTGAGGCGATTGACTCGCGGTGGAACCATCTGGGTCAAAACCGGGAACTTGATACAGTCGAGAAAGTGGAGGAGTTTTTGGCTACAGTCCGGTTCGATAAGGATAGTGGCAAGCGATCAGAGGGGGAGCGGCGGTTCCTCCAGACCCAATGGAAGAAAGACGAGGCGGCCAAAAGGAAGGCAGCCTTAAACGTCTGAGAGTTCGGGCCACCGATATGTCGACGTATAAGCTGGCGTGTCGGACCTAGGGAGAGTATTGGGGACAGCCAAAGAAAGGAATGACAAAAGGCTCTGTCAGTGTATCAAATAGTTGAAAAGGGACCCCGTCGTGAGTGTGTCCTGTGTAAATCATAAATATCAAACCTGGCCCTTGTCCCGTTGGGTCACAGACTGCTATTCTTATGTCGTTCACAAAGGCTTGTGCGCCTGCGATCTGCTCGCCATTGGACATCATATCATGACAAAATCCTCAACTATGTCTCCAGGCCCAGGGCCAATCACACCCCGTTATAGCAATATAGACAGAACGGAAATAACCGGTTCATTGCCCCATGCGTCGGATTTCTCACCCTTTCGTTCGGTCAGTGGGTTTATCATGTTTGTGTACGCCAACGATTCAGAGCACACGGGCTGGCAGGTATGAACTGTCATTGAGCTTGCAACTATTTTCGGGGGTTAAAGCCATCTGCGGGTCTTACCTAACCTCTTGACGCCTCGGGCCTATTTCGTTATTGACAACGCAAAGTGAGTACAATGCCTGAAATTCTCGTTCTTCCTAAATTTAAAATCGTTGTCAGACCTCTCTACTCTGAACATTAATACGACTCTTCCTCATGTGGCAACGTTCGAGGCGGGCAGTCCACCGGCTCAAGGTTCCGGCCGGACGCCGCGACGCGTCAAGTGGGAATCACCAAGTCATTTTCTCGGGCATCCAGCCTACGGGAACACCGCACCTGGGCAACTACGCCGGTGCCATCCGCCAATGGGTGCAACTCCAAGCCAAGCCTTCTGAGAGCTGCAAACTTGTGTACTCTGTCGTCGACTTGCACGCTATCACCGTACCCCAGAACGCAAAACAGCTCAGGCAATGGAAGAGGGAAACGCTGGCAGCTCTGTTGGCTGCAGGTATCGACCCCGAACGCTCGACTTTATTCTATCAATCATCTGTATGTTACGATCAACCCCTCCGCGCCTCCCTCCCCCTCTCTCACACATATTTGTATACCCAAAGTCGTTTACCTGGGCAATCGCTGAAGCCGCCCTGACCCCGAAGACTGACATATCAAACATCAGGTCCCGGCGCATTCTGACCTCATGTGGATCTTGAGCTGTACAGCCTCGATGGGTTATTTGTCACGAATGACACAGTGGAAGGTCTAGTACTATACCGTCTCTTGATCAATAGATAAATTACTGACACCAGGTACTTCTTGACAGAGCAAGCTGTCACTCTCAAATGATGCCACCATTCTTGATGAAGGTGCGAAAGCCTCGCTGAAGCTCGGCCTATTCTCATATCCCGTCCTGCAGGCTGCTGATATTCTCGTCCACCGGTACGTTCATTTGGCCGTATCTCCAAGCGCTCCATGTTATTCGCCTGTCGCCTGCAGCTATCATGGGAATCATGGTGCAATGCACTTGATTAACTTTCGTTCAGAGCCACTCATGTACCCGTCGGTGATGACCAGAGACAGCACTTGGAATTTGCTCGCGAGTGTGTAACAAATTTCAATCACAACTTCGGCCCTCTCTTGGTGTCTCCTGAGACCATCACATGTGAGTTTGTCCAGCTATCTTTCTTATCATCATCTATCTCCGGGGCCCAATTCCCTAACAAGATATAGCACCGACACGCCGGGTTATGTCGTTGCAACAACCAACCCAGAAAATGTCGAAATCCGCTAGGGACCCGAGGTCACGTATCCTAATCACCGACACGCCCGAAGAGATCAACGTCAAGATAATGAGTGCATTGACAGACTCCTCTAATAATGTTTCCTATGATCCGGCTAACCGGCCGGGGGTATCAAACCTGTTGGAGATCCTCTCTATTTTTGATGTTCATGCCAGGAACCCAGCTCAACTCGCCGACTCTTTTTCTCATGCCTCTCTCAAAGATCTCAAGCAAGCCGTCTCAAGGGCTGTCGTCGAGGGGCTTGGCGGAATCCGTGAGCGCTACATGGAGCTTCTGTCTGTTGACGAGGGACGATATCTCGATGCCGTCGAAGCAAAGGGTGCCAGCAAGGCCCGTCTCAATGCCAACGAAACAATGGCCCTAGTGAGAGAAGCCACGGGGCTGTGAAGCCTCATCGTTATCTCAATACCAGCTTGGCGAGGCGCCCCTTAACCTATCGTGGCGCTGGGACATTTGTAACACAATGTATCATTACTTCTCATTTCGCGAACCACAATGTTGTGCATCGTTACTGGGAGTCATTTCTGGGTGTAGGAGAAACGCCGGTGGGCTGTTGAGGCATTGCCTTTTGGATTCCAAGTTCTCGAACATGCTCTTCACGAGGCATAGGCGAAGTTTGAGCCTCGCGCAGCAAGCCAAAAGTCTCGCACCACCTGATTGGTACCCCTCGCTCCACGAAGACTGTCAGAGATGGTCAGTGATACATTCCCACACTCTCAACGAAGAAAGTCAAACCCACTTCATGATTTTCTTAAGAAAAACCGCTTTTTCATCGCCAGCTAGCTGCTGGCTTGGGAATGATGGGTCCGACAAAGCTTGCTCGAGCCAATTACGAGCTTTGGCTTGATTGCTGACCATCTTTTTCAGAGGCTCACTTAATCTGTCGAGTTCGCTCCTTGAGGCAGTTCCGCCGATGTTACGAACGATGGACTGGGCCAGCAATGGGCCTAACTGAGCTATCGCGTGATCTATCGTCGCATCTGCGGGCTTCAGAGCCATGAACGTGGCCTAGTGCTGGTCAGTACAATTGAGTGTCGTATGTCTCTGAGTTGGCGAACAAACCCAGAAATCCGCAGCTGCAGCTTTGGGTAGTGGCTCGCGCCCATCTAGGATCCGCAAGGCGTAGATGAAGAAAAACTCCGTAAGAGGAAGGCAATCCGGTCGGAAAAGCGACGCAGGCTCCCGCGAGATCAAGCGGTTCGTAAATTCAATGCCGTTCTGCGCCAACTCTACATCATTATCTGGCTCTGTTACGTCAAAATCGTGAGCGTGGTCCTGGAATCGAAACTAATGCGATCTTACCTGGTTGTTGCTGTAGTAAAGTAATGACCCATCGGAGAAGTTTCGTCCTTACTTCATCCACATCACCGCTCTTCATATTTCTTAGTGAACTAAGAAAAGAACAAGCAGTGTTCACAAAGTAGCCAATTCGAGGTGTTTGAGGTGTCTGTTCAGTGAGGTAGTCGCATACCAGCCCTGGAGGGAAAACGAATGGGCCAGCGTCCGACTCGGAAAACCCCGATCGGAAAATGGTGCAAATGCTCTCGGAAATTTCGTCGCTCTGTGGGAACGCTGTCTGAAGCTGTACTATCATTGACATGATCCCAGACTGCAAATGGCCGAGTCTGGAGGAGCTGTCGGTCGCCGGGATATCCTTCTCACTGTCCAGGTCGAAAGGCACGTCGCCCGGAGCCTGTAGACCTTTACCAATGCCTATGAGGCATCTCAGAGCTTTCAAGGCCATGTGCAGGGGAAGTTCCGACGGATCGCCTAGCGTCGGGCAGCGATGAATGTCTGTTCCGCTGCCTGATGCGTCGCTCTGGAGTCTGGGCAAGGACAATAGATGCATTGACAAGCGAGCATCTTTCTGGACGAACGAGAGTAAGAAGTTAATATGGTCGAACTTGGTGCTCTCATCTGGGACGGCTTGGATGACAGCGGCTATGGCTCCCATGATTCGCTCAACAGCCAGACAGTCCAGCTGACTTTGTGCGGCAATACCCTCATATTGACTGAGGAATGCGCTTGCCTCCGATGCCAGGATGGAGCGTGACGAGGAACAAAGCTGTAAAATGGATTTGGCGGCCGGCCCAGCTAGTAAGGGATCTGCAAGGACAGAGAAGAGCAGATTCAGTGCAGCTGGAAGGCTTTGGGTCTCGCGCTCAAAGTAATCGGAGTATCTTTCAATCAGGGATATACAGGTCTGGCGAGTGCGACCTGGCATAGACGAACCCGATGTCTGAAGAAGGTCGAATAGTGGTGAGGAGAAAACAGCTCTGAGGCTTTCGTCGCACCTGGCATCTCCAGTTACGCAATCGGCGAGGGATCCAAGACAGAACGTTGCAGCTTCAAGATCAGACGAAGAGTTTGGTGACAACGACTGAAGAGTCAGATTGGCGAAAGTTGAGATTAAGGGAGGTCCAGTCACGGTAAAGGTCGATTGAAGAAGGTCAGCAACATCCTTCCTTGCATCGCCAAAACCGGCGCGGTCAACCGAATCCCAATCAGCAAGAACACTGGCAGGTGGGTATGCAATTCGTTGCCACACAGTCGATATAGCTTCCAGAACGTGGGATGTAGCCGTAGAGACCCATTCCTTTGAGCCCTCTTCCTCCGAGTAAATGCAGTCTGTTAATGTCTCAACATAGGTGGACCAGAACTCGAGGGCCGGGACGAAAATCTTGTCCTCGCTGACAGGATATCCCTGGGCAGAGAGGAGCCCACGAAGATGTGCGACAAAACGCGATGAGCGGGCATCCACACCGTGAATGAGATCCTCAACCTTGGAATCGCCAAGAGCGATCATGAGCTGCCCGAATTGAGCGGAATCAAAGTCGAAGTCCCCTTGGACAAGACGCTGGTATCGCTCATGAGACCACTGGGTCTCGAAAAGAGAAAAGAGGGATTCGTAATGTTCATCTGTCAAGAAGCCCGAGTAGTTTGACAGAATTTCGGAGAGCAACTCCACGGCCCCCTCGTACAATTCGTTATCGCACAAAGCTGTGATCGTAGGCTGAACCAGGGCCCGAAGAGCGTGGACAAGCTCGTCGTTGTGCGCTGAAACCCTCTGAGAGAACCAAACCCACGACTGGACGATGTGTGGTGAGCAACTTGTCCCTAAAGATGAGGCATTCACGCGATTGGATAAACGAGGTGACTGCCTACCTGTAGACAAGTTATGGTGCCTTTCTGTAAGCTGTGGCTCATTGGATCTGAAGATCTTCGGCGTACAAATCCGTGAGACATGAGAGCCATAGCATCTGGAACATTGCGCGTGAGATTT